CTTCTCTACCTCTATTTTTATGCCATAGCAATTTTTGGAAGGGTAAATATGGAACGATATAGTGTTGTTGGTTTGCCCAATGCGGATGGAAAATGCGCTACTAATGTAAACGAGTCCAAATAGTGTCCGACCCACTAAACTCAACCACCCAGGTTACTTTCGCTACACCTAATATAATAGTAAAATGGAAAAGGTGCTTCCCTCATTACAAAATTCTTGCATCCATTGCAAAAGTAGCAAGGGTAGATTCGTTTTCACAATCATTTATTATTTTCTTATTTACAGGAAAAATACATAAGTGATGGGATTTGAATTGTGATCTCTTTGAGAAAAGACAAGAAACATAACCACTTACACTAACCAAATTTGTTTTAACTTTTTAAATTAAAAACACAGGGGAAGTTTAAATCCCAAAAATCATAGGAATTTTCCAGCACAGTTAGCTAAACCACTAACTCTCCCCTAAATATTTTTTTGATATTTGATACTTATACTTTCATACTTTTTTGATTTTAATTCGAGTTTAATAGTTAATTCTATTTCTATTTATCTTATAAAAGGAGAATAATTTTAAAATCGCAAGCCTAATGTCATTGGTGCAAATATTGCACATCGAATTGCAGTATTGAAAGTATTGAATGTGTAAAAGTGATGCAGAATTCTTGACATAACTTAAATAATATAACTACCATAAAGCAACAAGATTTTTGAACATAGAAATTTTGAGTAAATATGTGACACATGTGTCTTTAAGAGAGAGGTAAATATGGAAAGATTGAGTGATGTTGGATTAAAAAGGAGCAACTAATGTAAATGGGTCTAAATGGTGTCCCGACCTACTAAATGCTCAACTATCGCCGTCTCTCCAAACCTTCCCACCGGACTCGACAACCACCTAACCTCTTCCACCTATATTGTTACGCAAAGCAATTTTTGGAGGGGTAAATATGGAAAGGTTGAGTGTTCTTGCTAGTTGCAGAGTGATGACTTGATATATACACATGTTTTTGTCCATCATTCCTATACCGTTTGAGTCTCATTTCTGGTATTTTAAGCCGATTTCACGCTAGTTTGTTCTTGTTTGTGATATTTCATGTCCTAGTACGTGAATGAAGGTTTGGACACGAGTTCGGGGTCGATTGGACGAAGTTGGGACGTTTGACGAAAAGCTGGAAATTCCACAAGGGCAGACCTAAATTCCACACGGCCATGTGACTTGGCCGTGTGGGATTTCCAGAGAGTTCACACGGACAGGCCTAAATTCCACAGGGTCGTGCAATTCTGGCCGTGTAACGTGCCTTCCGTCACTTAAATCAAACGCCGCGTTTTGGATTTCACACGGGCAAACTGAGGATTCCACACGATCGTGTGGCCTGGCCGTGTGGTCGTCGAATTCTGGGTTTTAGTCCCAATTTTGGGTCTTTTGAAGGGGGATTCGACTTTTTGGAGCAAAAACAGACTTCTAGAGAGAGAAAGTGTAAGAACAAACCCTAGGAGCTATTTGGAGTGGATTTCTCACCATTGAAGCCCAGATTGCATCCCCGGGAGTGAAGATTGACATCCCGGAGCAGATGCTTCACACCTTGATGTGTATGACTGCTTTGTATTCTATTTCCTCTCTCTCTCTCTATGGAGTAGAACCCTCTCTCACTTGGGTATGAAGAATCCTATTTCCATGTGTTAGGGATATCGATTGTAATGACGTTTGGTTTGTGATACTGCTTGATTATAATCGATTGAAGTGTTTTGATTGAGTCAATTGAAGCCTAATCATCTTTTCTTGATTTCTGTTGCAACCTAAGATAGATAGAATCTGATTAGGTTGTTTGAGCTTCTTCAATCGGTAGTAGTGAATCGATTATACGAGAGTTAGTCGATTCAATGCTTTGTAATGGAATCCAATTCTAGTAGTGGAGTTCTGTGTTAATTGCCTCAGCGTTCTATCCCAGTGAAGACTAGTCGTCTGTTGGGTAGTCTGTCTGAGAGGGCTTGGTCAGCTTAAGAGATTCCAAGCTACTGTCGGATCTTCCGCAGTTTAATCAACAGTAAATCAACCAAAGGTAATTACAACTTTGACCTAACTAAGGAGCTAGGGGGACTCATTCCCGAGTGACTCTTCCCTTGCTTAAAAACTTTGAACCATTTCCTGCTTTCTTACTGCTTGCAGAGCTCAATGGGGGGGGGGGGGGGGTTATTTAGCTTCTTTGACAGTAATGCGTGATCTCTTAACAATAGTTCATTTTGTTGATCTTCTAGGTTGACTTTTGAGTTGATTAAAGATAAATAGTGTCCCGGGCTCCTAACCTACTAAATGCTCAACCATCGTCGTCTCTCCAATCCTTCCCAGTTCCCATTTAACTCGACAACCGCCTAACCTTCTCCACCTATATTGTTACGGAAATCAATTTTCGGAGGGGTAAATATGGAAAGGTTAAGTGTTCTTGCTTGGAGAGCTGACTGATGGGTTATTTAGTTTCTTTGATAGTAATGTGCGATCTCTTAACATCAGTTCATTTGGTTGATCTTCTACGTTGACTTTTGAGTTGATTAAAGATAAATAGCTACACTTTTTGTTGCTTTTGTTATGATACTCCTTTTCAGTATCATCATTTTTCTGATTTGGAATGTTTTTGAGGTTAGTTTCCAGTAAACAAAGACTATTCTGATTAGTGTTAACATAAGGAATAACTTCAATCATACCACTTTTACACAAAATTTATATGTAAGAGCTGAGATCATTGTCGAATTGAACTATTCAAGCTATAATGCTAATCTTCAACATATAAAACATGGTCTCTTTAAATAACCTCATGATTGCAGATAAGTTTTTACAATGATGTTTTGTGATAGTGGTCACTTGCTTCCAGATTTAAAAGTGGGGTTCTAGTTACTACAATATAAAAAGTACGAGTGATGTTCATAATTAGAGCATATACAAGATGGTTTGATATCCTTCTCTTTGCAAGGAATAAATACATGGTGAGCATATGTTGTCATGGGAAGGACAAACCGAACTCTCTGTGTTTGTAGTATAGCATGTTGATATATACACATGTGTAGACCCGATCGATTGGACATATCCACCTGGAATTTATTGACGGGATTTTTGCTCATCAAAATCGCGTGCCAAGTAAGCTCCCTCCTTAATCCTTATATTTGTTTTAATATGCACATGCACACCCTCATAGGAAACATGTACAGAGTTGTAATTTGGGTGCTTCATTAGTGTTGTTTCCATAAGATTGTATTACCTGAGGTGGTTGTTCTAGAATTGTGAATCGTGATTGTATCTCCTCTAAGAAATTGTCAAGTTAAGCTATAAAAGAGGCTAACTTGAGCTTGATCTTTAATTTAGATGGTAAGAGAGCAATGACCCACTTCAAATTGATTGGGGTTGACAATGCCTGAGAAACGGTTTAGCCTTCTACAGAGCATCACAAGATCCTGATACTAGTATCTCAACCAAAGCAATTTTTGTTTTCATGTCTGATGTTGGTGCAAGTTGTTTACCTAGAGGAGAGCCCCGACAAGTTAGCTCTTGGAGTTGCGATGTGAAAATGGGCAAGGCATAAATGATTTATACAAAAGGCCATACTATGATCATATAGAATGCGTTGGTAGAGATAGTCATCAATCTCATTCTATTGACAAAGCCACCAAGGAGAAAAGAGGAATCACCATTGGTACTCTAAATTTTACAAGGCTATTATAATGATAATTTCTTTCATTTCATGTAAATTAGTATTATGACTGAAGTGATATTACCCCAAGCCATAAATTGCGGCAAGGAATGGTCGTTTGAATTAATTTCCACTGATGCAAAATACCATGTAGTTGCCATGAAGGAGTAAGAGTGGACCAATCAGTGTGTTTGCTGTCGAGAATGATAAGAATCGTGATAGTGGGGAGCGTTCATGGCGATTGACTTATACAGATTGAAGAGATAAAAAGTATAGAGCTGTAAGTCATTTGTGTGTTTAGTGTCGCAGCGTGGTTAGGAGTGATTTGGTAGGATTTCACAGTGGTAGGGATATTGACCAAAATTATTATCTGTTGATGCTTCCAAGCATATATAGCTTGCCTTTTTCTTTTGTTTGTATATGAGATTTCTACAGCAAATTGCGTGCTTTGAATTTTTTGTCATTTTAATTAACAAAACTATTTATCAGAGAAAACTGGCCGTCGCATTCCATAGACTTGATTTGGACATTGCTGGTTTTTGTTTTTTCAACCAGAGATTCATCGCCTTTTGTGTCATTGTGGTTTTTGGTATAAGGGCAATCCAGATTGGGTTTTTTATGAAATTTCTTGATGGTTTCCATTTTTACCATCGACAATTGGAGCCAGGTAAGCATTCCTTTGATTTTTCATGTTCACTTTAGGGGCATCATGGTGCATGGCAATAGTGGCTATATTTAAGGCTAATGAATTGGTTTGGATTGTCCATTATAGTGTTTATGTTTTACTGTTTATTTTGTAATGCAATGGAATAATGACTTTTCATCATATTATTATGGCGTTGTTGACGTACCTCCGGCCATCGCCGCATACATGTTAACGGGTAATGACTTTACATCATATTATTATAGTGGTGTTGACATATCTCCGACAATCGCCACATAAATGTTAATGTATAATATCAGATAGAATCAAAAAGTCAATTTCCGAGACCACGTCCGGCCAAGAAACTGGGTAATAAGCTAGTGTTTCTCGAAACACCAACTTATTTTTTTATCATCCGATAAAAGGAAACAAAACAAGGAATCTAAAGGGGGATAGGAAAATTGCACTATTTGTTTTTAATGATTTTATTAGTACCCTATGGAGGGTGACATTGAGTTTGAACAGTTCAAAAATTAACAAATTCCTCTTGCTTCGTTCCAACTCCAACTGTCACCACCCCAATCCTTGTTGTGTCCCCAAAAAATTTCACCACCAACAACAGAAAAAAATAAGAAGAAGATGAAAGAAAAGAATCCTCTGTCTCCCTCCATCAACAGTCAGCACCGCTCTTCTTGCTTTTGGTGATGCTGTTGCAAAAGCTGCAAAGAAGTGAGCTGGATTATGGCAGCCTTCAAGTCGCTTTCCTCAACCTGTAGCGCAGATATGGTGTGCTGAATCTCGTGGAACTCTTGTATCAACAACTTCTCTTGTGCAACCACTTTCGCCAGTTCTGATACCATCTCCACCGTCTCATAGGCCTGAAAAACCAACAACCCATAAAAGCCATGCCCTCAAGTTCACTCATTTCTCTCCATTTCATTCCACTCATCTCGCATCAAGTGACTTACTGCAGTAAAAATATTAAATATGCATACATACCGGAGATGAAAATGAGCTCAAAGCCCATCTGATGGAGTTCGTCAAATCTGTAGCATGCCTGAATGCCAGAGAAGTCAGCTCCTCGTTCACCTGCCAATTACCCACATTACCATTTTGTCAAAAACTGAACAGTTTCCTTATGATGATCATGCTTGAGGCCAATTCACGATAATATAGGTTGTTACCCTTGCGCCCTTGATCAGTGGAACTCTGCAAACCACAGCGTTCAAGGATTCCTGTGTTTTCGACAATGCTGCAGTGTGTTGCCTTTCCATTTCCTCCCATCTCTCCAGAGCATTCATCTGTGCCACAAGACCGAGAAAATTAAGCAAATACTAACAAATGCAAATACCTTGTGTCACAATCCAACAACGTTAGTAAGTGTCTTGCACACCTCCTCAACACTACAGCACAATTGATGATGGTTTACTGGTTTTTACTTTCCGGTGATAAAACTTACTTGCCAATGGAGAATTGATTCCAGTTTCACCTCCAGTTGTTCCCTCTGGAGCTGCAATCTCATCTTCACAACATTCTGCCGCTTTCTCACAATTGTGCTCCACGCTAATACCATATCACTCTGCAACATACAAAATTAACATCCGAGTTAGGAAAAAGCTCAGAATTCTGAAGCTGAGGGGGAACTGGACCCTAGAAGAAAGAAGAAAAAAAAACCCACCTCGGCTTGTTTCTCCAACTTCTCGTTGGTTGTTTCAGCCCTGGAATTGGCGTACCGCCATTGCAGCAGCCTGCCGTGGATCAATCTCAGCTGATGGATGGTTTCGGCGTTGTCCAACAACGAACTGGACGACGACGAGGTAGAGAAGGCGGCGGAGGAAGAAGAAGAATTCGAGGTTGATGTCGAGGTAGAAGTCGAGGAAGGAGAAGAAATTCTCTTGATTTTGGCGCTGCTCTTGAAGAAATCAAGCCCCATGCTCAGCAATTTCTCCATGCCCCCATGCTTCTTCGGGCTCGTCGGCGGCTTCCACGTGGAGAACGACATGGGCCGTTCTTTGTTCTCCACCGTCATGGGCGGCGACCCGGTCCGGCCCGGAGACAGGGCCCACTGCGACGGGCCCGTCGAGCCCGGGAGCGTGAGCGAGTGCGCCCTTCTGAACCCTGCCTTGATGCTCAATTTCTTGTTGTGCCTCTTCGGGGACAAGTTTGGGGAAGGGGACGAGCCGCCGTCGAGGGCTGGCGACCCGGGTACGGATTTCGGGTCGGGGCCCCGTCGGGTAAGGTTGTTCAAGTACTTGGAAGAAACTTCGATCCCTGATTTTCTCCTTCGGTTGCTAACTGGGTTTTCAATCTTCGGGTCGAAGCATTCGAATTCAGCGCAATTTCCAGCCCAGTCGCACACGTCCTGGTCGATTCGCTCCGGGAACATGGCCGATTGCCGGCGGGAGGTGGCGGCTCCGGGGAGGGAGCTCTTGTACAGAGCATTCTCGTCGACGGAGAATCTCCCCGGGACGTAACAGGCGTTGGTGTAGAGAAGGGTATTGGAAGAAGAAGACGAAGTGGAAGTCGAAGAGGAGGAAGAAGAAGAAGAAGGGGAAGAGGGTTTATTGCCTCCACGGAATCCGAGCTTCCCGCCGGCGTACCTGAACGAGCCGCCGAGTCCTCCGGGGCGGTGATTCTCCTTCTGAAACTGAATCGCTCTGTCGCTCTCGCACTTGGCTACTTCTCTGCCGCTCCTCTGTCTTCCCAGAGCGGAGAACCCGCTGTTGGCGGCGGCGGATGATAACTTGTCTGGGTCTGATTTCTTCTCTTCCAGGACTTCGTTAATCAATCTCTTGCTCCCCCGAAAATGATCCCCCAGAGTTTTAGCGGTCTTGACTCCGCCGTGAGCGGCGGTGGCGCTATTATCGGTCGATGGGTTGGAAGAGACGGCGGACGAAGGCCAGAGGAGGCCGCCGCCGCGAGTGGATGCCGGGTCGTCGTGATTGCGGGACTTGCGGGTGGCGGCGGCGGCGGTGGACTTATTGGTGCGGACTGGGGAAGCTGAAGCTTGAGAAACAGGGGATGGAGATGGGTGGCCGCCATTGATGTCACGAGAGGGTGAAGCTGGAGTGGTCTGGAGGTACCTGGAGCCAACTTCCCTGGATTTGATCGATCTTCTGGGCTTCTGGAATGGTTCGTTCATGGCTTGGAGAGAAATGGGGGAGAATTGGAATTGGAATTGGAATTGGAAATGGAAGTTGGTTGGTGTGAAACAGAGTGCGACGAAGATGTTGGGGGGAATGGGGGAATTGGAAGGGTTCTTTTTCGGTTTTCAATTTTATGCCGGAATTTGTCAGGGGTTTCGGGGGGAGAGAGGATTCGGAATTTTGTGCGTGTTGTTGAGATTTTCTTTTTTATTTTCACATGGGGTTTATTAATATAATCATTATTATTCGGTTCATCCGTTTGCATTCAGTATGCAGTATGCAAATTGCAAAGTGGATGGATGATGAGGATGGGGTTTTTACGCCATTTGGACAAAATCGGCACTGCGGAAAAGGGAAGATGCTTAATTGAAGTTTTATTTGGGGATCACTATATGTTTGGGAATACGACTGCAGCAACAATGAAGGTTGGACTTGTGACTATGGCGATGATATATATAAACATTGAGGAAAAAAAATCCCAAATTGCAGAAGTTGTTAAAACAAATTCAGAAATTACAACACTTATAAAAAAATTTCCAATATACTCAAGTTCGGGCTAGGTCGCGGGCCAGACCAGCGATCCAGGAGATAGATCGCTGGTAACCAAAGCAATCCATCAATGGTCGCTCTCGACATTGGTGTTGAAAATCACCACTGCCTCCAAATCCTTCAATTCATCCACAATTGCACAACTTCTCCTAACCATCAAATACGTTCGAGAAATCAGGCACAAAGACAGAATAGGGGACCCTACGAGGTGTTGGAGCAATTCGCCCGTCGAGGCGAACGCGGGGAGGAAAAAACAGTTGAAAACAGTTGTTTAGTATCATTAGTTGGTGTTGAAAATGATGATCCTTAATACCTCAACTTTTATGAAAACAGTTGTTTAGTATCATTAGTTGGTTGAATTTTGTGATGATACATTTAGGTTAATACCAACTTTTTCTATTTATAAAATGACTCGTCCTTAGATCATTTGAAGTAAAAGTTGAGCGAACTAAATACTTACTCAATTTACCAAAATTCTGTATTTATCTTCAATTCAAAAGTCATTGTTTCATTGATTTGCACCTAAACTCTTGGTGTCCTTATTCAATTTGTCTAGAGATAGTTCTTGCCATCCCTGATAAATGATAAAAAAAAGTTAGAAAAATAAGATCATATTCAAATTCCAACTATCATTAAATATTGACTGATTAAGTGCCAAGCGTCGTCAATTTTCTAGTGTTATTCTACAAACTAGTTCACTATTAATTATAGTCTAGGAATACCTTGAAATGTGTTAAGCTAGCAAATGAATGGACATACCTTTTCAAGCAATTACCAATTCCAGGGGGTCTGTTTGGTTGTGGGGTAATGTAACCTACAACCAAAGGTTACCTGTTGGATCATGGTACTCTCTTCCTGAAACAACTACGATTCTTTCGGGTTTTGAATAGAATTAGGGATGATTGAGAAGAACTAAATTGGGGATTTAGGAATTAGAAGAAGAAATTGAGAGAACAGATATTAGGAGTTTGAGAGAGATACTTTGATAATACTTTTCTGATTAATTCTTACGTAAACCCAATGTTCATATTTGTATAGGAAATAAACCCGAAAAAACCTAATAATAAACTAATAATATTCAGCTATGACCTAGCCGCCCAGCCCTAATAATAAAATAACTAGTACGAAATAATAATATTTCTAACAATCCCTTCCACTTGAAAGAGACCTTGTACTCAATGTTGCAGTTTACTTCACGGACGTCCCTCGCTTTCATTGTGATCCCTCGACATAGTTACAGTGTTTTCTTTCGCTTCCTCCTCTTTCAATTCCGTTCCAGCACTCGGACAATCCTCTTGGCACAAGCAGTTCTCACGAGACTTCCCTCTTCTGTTGGGCCCGTCGATCCTGACCCAAATACCTTCCGATCCAAGCAAATCCATCCTTTTAGAGCCCAACCCTGGTTGACCAGCCGAATTCTATTTGGAAGGCTCTCGATAAGGTCACCAATATAAGGTCCAAGCTGCATTGGATCCACATCGTTCCTCGTCGGCACATTCCTGCCTCTTTGTTGGTCCTCCTTGCTTCCGGTTTCTGACCCGCCATGACCATAATGAGTTGAATAATTAGAAACTAACCCATAAACCAATTCTCCACCACTTTCACCCATGTTGAGCAACCGTCAATAGGAAGTCAGAACTCAAACTCGTCCTCCGCCCTCCCAGCTTCCGAGCTCTCTAAATTGATGCTGCAACTGAATATGGCTACTATGTCGCTAGCAAGTGCCATGATGGAGGCTCGTGCTGCAGGGGAAGCTGGCAGCTGAACTCGGTTGTTAAAACTCGATGAATGCGGAAAGAAAAATAACACGAGACACAGATTTACGTGGTTTCCCCATTCATATTGAACGAGACTAGTCCACGGAGAGTTTGAGACTCTCGGCTGATTTCTTATTGACGACTCACGTCTTTTGTTCTTAGGGTTACAAGCATGCAGCTAAAGACATATATATACAGTCTAACCCCTCTACATGATATGCTGGAAAGGAAAAGGTACAAAATGATCCCTATAATTAAGGAAAACGACATAGGGATCACAACAACGACGGTAGTGGAAAGCTTTGAGTCGACGTCAACCTTCACAATAATGACAAGCAAGCTTTATTTAACTAATTATGTCCCTTGTATGCCCATTGACAAGCCTACAACTTCCCGGCGAGGTGCGACATTGTCGTTGGTGTAGTTACCTGTTACTGCCACGACTTCCCCTCTCTTGTGCAAGGCTTCAGGAGATGATCTCCCCATTATTCTGTGAGCAATCTGCTCTCCTTCCTTCTCGAAGTATGCACAAAACACACTGCCTTCTATGAGATTTGGCTTACTAGCCTCGGCGGTGGAGCCTTGAATTTTCCACTCTAAAGCTATTGCTCTTGCTAGTTGAATATTTCCCCTGGCGTCAATCCAAACCTATAAACCAGCGTTAGTACATATTCTGACTGCCCCTTTGACACGTGGCATGTAAGGGTCTGTTTCAATTTTTCTCATATAATTGAACTCGGTCTCCTTCTTCCGAAACCTCCAGTTTGTGAAGTCATCATGTGTTACACTCTTCTAGTCACCCGCATCCCTCATCCTCCATCATGATCCCTTTTCTTGAGAGTCAGACGACATGGCAAAAAGAACCTTGGTGAGGAAAAGTGAATCTACATCCGAAACAACTTGCTCGACGGTAGATAAGGAATTGGGGGGACTTTTCACTCCCTTGCCATGGAAGCATCTTCTCCTGAACCAGCTGTGGTTCGTCTTCTTCGTCAAGGTCGAGTGGTGTGGCGATTCTGGCCAAGGAGTTAACAAGGACTGCTATCGACGACTCCTCGCCTTGTTTTGGTTGTGGTGCGCTTGTCGCGCCCTTTTCCTATGACTCATCGTTGATCGGCGTCTCAAGACCAACGTCACGTATATCTTTCGCTCTAGCCACCATCATCAAATCCAACCTGAGGTCGTGCGCCTTTTACAACATAGAGCTCTCACTCTCGTATGCTGCTACTTTGGTGGTTGCCATCCCGGGCCTCAGTGATGGAGCAATGACGGAGATCTCAATTCGCAACGCTTCCTTTGTAAGCAACCCCAGGCTCTTTGCCCATAACTACCTGCACCTCGACCTTCCTCGGTCCCAACTCAAGCTCTATTGTTGGTGCTCGGACCAGCGACGCCACCACCATACTATGCGGCCCAAACTTTTCCCTTAATTGATCGGCCTTCCTTTATGCCTCGGAGATTAGTTTGTCGAGCTCTTACAGCTGATTCGAGTCACAGTTTAAGAGTTATTATGAACTCATAATCAAACGAGGCTCTTATACCACTGAAAGAACTACGATTATTTAGTGTTTCAAATAGAATTAGGGGTTGAGAACAAGAAGAGCAGAATTGGAGATTTAGTGATTAGAAGACAAAGAATTGAGAATCGAGGAAAAGAATGATCGTTGGCCGTCAGGGATAAGTGAGGATTTTTTCAGAAAAGAGATTTGGCTTATGAGAGAGATACTTTGATAATACTTTTCTGATCAATTCTTACGTAAACGCAAAGTACATATTTATATAGAAAATAAACTTAATAATAAACTAATAATATTCGGCTATGACCTAGTCGCCCAACCCTAATAATAAAATAACTAGTACAAAATAATAATATTTTAACACTCCCCTACCTTTTCAAGCTATTTTGCAACAAAAAAATTAACTATTAAGAATTTTCTCGTTCCAAAACTGAATGTTGAAGGATTTTAGAAGGGTCGGAATATTCTCAATTGGATAGTCTCAATTAAGTCAATAAAAATATGAAACATTACTATATATTGAAAATTTTCATTTTTCATCATCATCTCGAACATTTCAAGCAATGCTCATTCTCGATCCTTTTGAAGTACTTGTAATAGAGTCTATGTTTCATAGGAATCAATTCTTATTAATGTCAACATCTCCTCTCAAATATGCTCACATGTGATCACTCCCCTTTTCATATATGACTCTTCATCAATCTTTCCCCATTATATCTAGTTACTTGGTGCCCACTTCCCTTCTCTTTCCGCTCGGTTAAACAATACAATCATATAATTGCAAATCACAATAATTTCTCATTCATAACGACCTAGATCCTTCATAATCCAATGAACAAAAACGATTACTTAAGATCAACTTGCGAATTTGGGAATTGTAAAATTTCAACTATTGTATATAGCTTTTTATACAAAAGATATTCTTGTATTGATAAAAAATGAGATCAAACACATTACACCCAGGTATACAACCAAGATAGAAAATCAAAAGAACGACTCGTAGTCGGGTACAAAGAAATGGTATTTTTAGCCAACAAGTGGGTTGCCCTATTACCATTCCGACCTACAAATCGTACGTTAAGACCATTATGAATTTCCAACAAACAAAGAACTTCCTCGAGAATGGCTCCAGAGTGAATATCATCTCTATCGACCTGGTTTATCTTGTTAATG